ACCAGCTCGAATTAGTATGATTTGATTTTGTCAATATTCAATTATTTTTTAAAATATGTTTTAATTAATATAATTAACTTTTAAAAGTAATATAAAATAAGATAATTATATATTTATATTAACTTTTTTTAATACATAAACTTAAAACTCATCGTAACGAACATAAAAGTAACATTAAAAAATAAAAAATTTAATGAAGTACCTACATTTTTTGTCTAGATTGGATTATCCTTAGATTATATAATATATGAAATTCAACTAAAGAACTTAAAGTGAATATCTCATCCAATGTTATTCAGTTCAATTGAGTTCATTTTTTATATTTAGATTGATCATTTTTTTAATCCAAACTGAATACTAAACACTCCTATAGATAATTTTTGAATCTAGTGGAGTCACATGAGCGCAACAAATATTATTATCCACTCATTTTTCGTTTTTTAACTTTTATATATATATATATATATATATTTAAGAAAAATCTAGTAAAATAGTTATTTATTTGTATAAGTTAATAACTTATAATTTTAAACTAAGTTATTGATTTTATTAAGTTAAGTATTTTATAAGTTTATACTGTTAATTCATAATAATTTTATTAAATGATAAGATTTATACACTTAATAAGATTTAAATTTGCTATTTTCAAATAAAATATAAAAATTTTAACTACTTGACTATCATATAATTATTAATTAAACTTTTGGTGTTAGTATCATTTTGTTATTTTCATGTGTAGTTTAAATGAGAACTTTGTATTAAAAAAAAAAATTATATCTAAGTGAATCATATATGATTTTTATAAATTTTTAACTTAAAAAAATAAAAATTTCAATTTTAGTAGATCATAGCTTGGGTATTTGGGATTTACATTATTAACCCTACAATAAAAATGAGAATCTCATGCATGTCAATTTTATTTTCTTTGACATGAAACTTGCACTTCATATGATAAATGTTTTAATTCTTTTGTCCTGCATGCTACTGGTAAATAGATATTTAAATTCGTACTCTACTTAATCATCATATTCGCCGCACGCGTAAATCTATAACTCCCACCCGTCCGATCATCCTAAAAAAGGCGCTGGATTCCACTTGTAATCTCTTCTACCCTTCGCGAACCATTATGTTAGAAAAAAATCGACGGTCTGTATTCTTCATGGACCGGAGTGTGGTACTTCTGAAATGCACCGTTTGATATCTAAATATTTAATGGTATAAATAGTAATCGTCGGGAAGTCGACACGTTCTCTCTCTATCACGGAAAAAAAGAAAAAAAAAAAAAACCCCAACAAAGAAAATATTTCCAATTCGAGTCTCTTCAAGGAAACACGAGCTCGCAGGGTGTAAATCTTTAGCTAAAATTGGGAGTTTCTTCCGCTTTTTATTTATTTCTTCCATTTTTCCTCTTATCTCATCTATTTTTATCCATTTCCGTACTCGAAACTTCTTGTTCGAGCTCAGAAGAAATTCGAATCTAGGGTTAGGGTTCGGGATTTCAGCGGATAAACCGAAATGAAATGAATTAAGAGTTTCAACTGGTGAAGGAGAAATACCATGTGTCTTCAATGAAACAGGTTGTCTCGAGCTTATTGTTCGGGTCCTGTTACAGTTGGTTGCATATAGAGTTTTTGGCGGTTCTTTTTTAATGGCGGCTGCAAATCCACAGCCACTACAAGCGCGCCCTTTCGAAGAACATGCGCTAGTACCTATACAGATCGAGGACGACGATGTCGAGTACGAGGACGGTGCCGGGGATGATGCCGTGGATGACATAGAAGAGACAAACATGAACTCTGTGAGTGTTGCAGAGCATGGAGGAGGAGGTGTAGTTATGGCGTCGAGGACTAGTGAGCTTACTCTTTCTTTTGAAGGAGAGGTTTATGTGTTTCCTGCTGTTACACCTGAAAAGGTATGGTTTGTCCCTTTGGAAAAAAGGGATTACACGTATTATTGGTGTTCTTATCCGGATATTTGTTTCATTGACCGCAATTTGTTCGAATTCGTTATGTTTTTCGCTTGGATATGTCAATCATGTGAATTTCATCCAATATGAGAAGTCATGCATTAATGGTATGAGATTTTATTTTTTTTCCTGTGATATTTTGAAGTTATGCTATGTAACAGCTACTTCGAATTTGTTTCTACTGGAAATTTATGCATATGTAATTGTTTTACCCTGTTTTAAGATGTTCCTTCTCCTTTCAGTTTTATTTGCGTTGTTTTGGATAAGTAGTTTATATTTTTTTCCAGGTATGTATATATCTTCGTGTAGTAAGTTTAGAACTTCATTTTGTGCTTTAGACAAAGAGTGGAACAAATTAACGAGTTTGGAGAAATAATTTCTCTTAAAGGTGTTTTTCAAATGTAGTAATCCAACTGAGTTTCAAAAATAAATTTTAAAACTTCATATTTGTATCCAAATATAAAGATTGACTTATAAATGGATTATTTCGTAATTCATTTTACAAACAAAACCATATGTTATGATTCATTTATTTAAAGCAGTCATTTTAAGCTAAAAATGACACAATGATAAGTTATAAACTAAGCTGTTAAGGTACTAATAATTTTGGACCCAAACTAATCAAAGTTCCATTATGGTTATGTTACCCAATTGAGGTTTTTCTGCTATTTCTGTGGCTATTTAAGCATTATGGATCATTTTCCTAAGCTATAGAAGCAATGAGTATTCCTTTGGCCAATATTTTTTTGTTTAAAAAAAAATTTCTGGATGGTTTCCATGCTTCACCTTTATCAAGAAGGAAAAACAATAACAATGAAACAGAAGATACTTTATTGAAGTTCTCTTAATTAACTATTTTTTCCCATAGCCACTTTGATATTTAATGGATTTGTGAGCTTCAGAGTGTGTTTGATGAAACAGTTTTTTTATTTTATTCTATTACATGGTGCAGGTGCAAGCAGTACTCTTACTCTTGGGAGGACGTGATATACCTACTGGGGTTCCTACAATTGAAGTTCCTTATGATAAAAATAACAGAGTAATCATATGCAGATATTCTGTTATCAAATCTTATTTGGATCTCCTGTGTCCGTGTTTATGTGGTATCTGCACTATTTTGTAGGGCGTAAGTGACACTCCAAAGCGCTCAAATCTTTCAAGGCGAATAGCCTCCTTGGTTAGGTTCCGTGAAAAACGGAAGGAGAGATGTTTTGATAAGAAAATTAGGTACACGGTACGAAAAGAGGTTGCTCAGAGGTACTAACTTTTATTTTCAGATGAACTCTTAACTGATATTAGTTAGTTAGTATTTTTTCTTGCAATTACATGTTTTTTTTAGGAGCTAATTCTTTAAATTTATTCATCTGAAACTACGAGTTTTATGGGATCATTTAATGTTTTTTTGAATATTTATGTTCCGCTATTATTGAGACTACTCATTATAGCGAGACATGACCAATGAACCACACATGAATAG